CCCCCACCCCCAATGTGCGCATTGGTAGTCTGTGTGAGCAGACTCATATGCAGCCGAAATAAATAGAATATAAGGCAGAATATTTAACTTCGACAGGTTGTTCGTCCTTTTGAAACAATGATTAGGAATCTTTAGAAGATAATTGTGAACTGAGACAGAAGCAGTGAGAAATGAACTTTTACGAAGAAAAAAGAGTGCAGTATTCCACGAGCCTCATTAAAAAAATACTGAATAGGAAGTAAACTGCTCCGTCAAGAGATACAAAGTGGAAGACTAGGTTAAGGATATAATGGTAGTCAGTCAGTATCAGTCAGTATATTTGGAGTAAATGACCGAAGCCCTTAAAAACTCCATTGAAATGATACAGGAATGCATAAGTTTTTGTGAAATATGCGAACATTGTTACAGGTTATCCTTAATGTGAGTAAGGTACGCTAATACTTTACTTTCGGTGGAGCTGGATAACACGAAAACTTGTAGAAAAGTATCAATGGATTTAAGGCCTGAGCATTTAAGTGGCAAGAACGGAATTGTAATGGTCCTAGCAGAGAAAGAAATGCGATGTGATTGAAGGGGAGGTTATGAAAACACTATGATTCGCAGGAGAGCTGATGAATGGAAGGTTCAATTGGAGATGGTTTCCTAAGATACCGATGACCTCTTGCCGCAGACGGGGAGAAAGCTGTTCGGAAATGTTGACGAAAATAAAAGTGTCGGGTGCATACTTTTACTCTCGAAATGTCTTTTGATATTTTCCACTTCTTAACAGCTGAACTCCTTCCTTAAAACGAAGACTGAACAGCGATATCCAAAAATGGGCCGTATAAAAATTTGACAAATATCAGTTTCATCTCAGGAAGGTAGTTACTGTAAGAAATAATATCGCAAATCTGGGCAGCATTTAGACGTAATTCTATCGACGTGAGATGAGAGATCGTATTTTCTGAGGCAGTTTAAGACCGACGCTTGGATAATAATAAATTCTTTCATTGGATTGTCTTGGAAAATACCTGGTTGTTATGGGTGTTCAGGCCAAAACGACCGATTAATATTCCAAGCAGTATGAGAGCCTTTAGAGGTTTAACTTTATATGTGAGATTCTCTAACAATTTTAGTATAACATCATTATTTTTGAACTATTTAAACCTACGTTGTTTCGCTATGCACCCCACTCAAATTTATGTTGTAACTAGGGTATCCAAACTCCTGTCCATTTCCCAGAACAAACTGAACTGATTGGACTACCCTTGAATTGCCCACATTTTGAGGTTTGCATTTTAGCCTACTTGTCCATGCTTTTCTTGGCAGTTTATTTGCGTGGTTCTACACTTTCGACCTTAAACAGCTCTTTGGCGGCTCGTATCTGTTTTAATTACCGCGCTTACAGTAGCAAGTTTTCCAGGGCCAGTGTTTATGCTGCAAAAAAGTCTGTACTGCCCACAAAGGATATATCAGCCCAGGCATCCGCCGATGTGCGTCGCATTCCTGATGATATTAAAACTGTACGCAATCGTTTGCTGTGTCATTATTATCCTAAGATTTTAGAAGGTTGTAATGCACGCGTTTCAGACATCACGCAATATGCTTTTGACTCCCGAGGAAAAATGCTCAGACCTCTTCTGGTGCTCTTAATGGCAGCATGTGCTAACGCTCATTTGTACTGTCGCACACTTGCTGAGCGCACTAGAGAGGATGAAGTGCATTTTTTCGAACGACAGTTGAGTAATTTGAATTGCATATTTAATTTTTATCTTAGGTACGAAGGTCACTTGTAGTCAACATGCGATTGCCATTATCTCCGAAATGATTCATACCGCTAGCTTGATTCATGACGACCTTATCGATCGGGCCGACACACGCCGAGGAAAGCTAGCGACATATAAAAAATTTGGAAACAAAAAGGTTTGATTCAAACGCTTCCCTGACTACACGAATTTAGGCTGTCTTGGCCGGCAACACAATTCTAGTTAAAGCCTCTGAGCTGCTTGCAAAATTAGAAAATGCTGAAGTGGTTTCTATTCTTTCGACCGTACTGGATGACTTAATCCGAGGTTTTCGTCTATAACGCTTTCATTGTTTTAGGTGAATTTATGCAACTGTCTTCGAGCTTAGATGAGAACCAAAGGTTTGATTTATACCTGGAGAAGTCTTATAAGAAAACAGCAAGTCTTATGGCCAACAGCTGCAAGGCGGTATGCTTTTTTATTGCTTTTCTCATTTAAGTCTTTGACATTTTTCTCGTCCATTGTTTTTGCTCTTAACGCACGTTGAAGTATTCCTTTCTGTACTTGGTGAAAAAAACGCCGTATTGGAACGGAATCATCATGTGTATATAGCGTGCTTTTTATGTTGGTCTTCTTCCGGCTGCAGATTCTTATTTTCCTGTATTCTGCCCTCTGACGTGTCAATAAATACGACAAATTTTATCTCCCACATCAATAACACTATGCACCTGTCGCTAAGCTATATCCCTGCCAGCATAGGGCGACCGGGTATTCAAGGAATTAAGATTTTTGATTAACGAACTATATTTACGGTACACATTTTTAAAGATCTACTTTTTTATCAATAAATTATTTATAACCTTGTCCTCTAACAAAACAATCATTTTGGGAGCTTAGAAATGAGAAAAAGGGCGTCCTGCTGCGAAAACATTTTTCCGGCGGCGGGGGACACGTTGAAATCCCCCTCTAATTTTACGGGGCTGGGGACGGATTCCCCCATCGCCCTGTTTTGGCAGGGATTATCTCCTTCAATCTATTATAGGGCTCTGGTCCGCATGCAAACGTATTATCGGGTTTGCTTCTCAATCTTTCCCTTTTCACACTGCAACCGCAGGTCTCTTATCCATCTTTTGCCCTTAAAGTATCATTCTGGCTCACAAGTATTTTTATATGTATAGCGCATCCATTTTCAACCAGAATTGTTAATTTGATTTTGTTATCTTTTGTCTTAGTATGTTTTACTAGCGGCAGTGTATGTAAAATCTAGTATCATCTGCTGAACATTTTATTTATAGGTGACTGTATTAGCTGGTGTAGATGCCCACCTGGTGGATGCGGCCTTTAAGTTTGGCCGTCATCTCGGAATGGCCTTTCAGCTCTTAGATGACATGCTTGATTTCATTGGCCAAGAATCCAAACTCGGAAAACCAGCCGGTGGCTCTGACCTGCAGCTCGGCCTCGCTACTGGTCCCGTCCTCTTTGCGGCGCAAGAAGTAAGTCGCTACTCATTTTTAAGCAATCTATCTGAGTATTCCAAAAGGCAACCTACCGTTCGGTTTTCGCCTGTTGTCTAGAACGCAGTTGCTATTTGCATCCAGACTTTTATGATTCAATTACTTCTCAGGACGCCATCTGAGGGTTGTTGGGTTGGTTTTATTTGTCAATATCTGTTTTTGTACAGCCGATCCACCTATAATTGCTTGAATAGAATAGAAGATACTCCCTCTATAGTTGTCCGAAGAGATTATCTGCATTATCACTTCCAGGAACCATGAGTATGTTTATTGACTGGCCAGTCTGAGTCTTGTCGACGAATTTTTCGCATAGTTGCCATTTATTGCAAATGGTCTCCGCTTTTGCTGTTCTGGGATGTAAAGCCAGCCTCTCGTTTCAGTTTCGAAAATGTCCATAATTGGGAGTTTTCCGCATTATAGATTGAATTTCTCCGTTCGGCGCTGTAACACCTTGATTGGTTTTAAAATATCTGAAATATCCTCCTGGATATAAACCGTTGACTCCAATTGTACATTTTTATTTCCCTTCACATTTTATTCTGTTTTTTTAGTTTCCTGAACTTGAAGAGCTTCTTCAAAAAGGCGTTAAGTCAGACAAGGAGAGGTTGAGCGCGTGCTCGTTTGTGCATCGGGTATGTTCAAGTGCTAGCGTGTTTGTCTTTTGTAAGTGCTTCTGCAAGTGAAAAAAGTTCGTAATAGTAGTTTAGTAGCCTATAAATAATCGATAAGTCTGCCTTGCGACTGGGTCCAGGTGGGAGAGTGGAACAAATTGTGAGGTAGATGCCACGCAAGTCTACTCTCGCTAAAATCCAATACTAGTCACCGTCCCTAAACCACCCTGCTGTGTATGTCGTCGAATTGCCAGATAATCGACTCCTTCGCCAGTATCATACGCATTGGCAGTATCCTCCTCCCCCTTAAGACTTTACAAATAATTAAAACCTATCGGATCCCTATAAACATCCAAAATCTCCGTGCCGTGTCCATGAGCCTTTTATGTCGATATTTCCATCTTCAAGGGCAATTTATAATACCGTCAGTGACCGATCTCATGAAATGTTAACCGAAATTCTTATATGTTTTTTTCGAGCAAGAAAAATTGTTTAAATAGGTTTTTAATATCGGCCATCGTGCGGCAAAATCTCCTTCGGTCTCTTGAATGTCTGTCTTTTTTACTGTCTGTAAGCAGCGTACTCGCTAACTAGTGGCTATTAAAATAGCATGCATTTTCTCTATTTGTCTTCGATACCCTCGTAAATTCAAATGTATCTGATAGAAAGTATGCTTAAAATATAATTTATTTTGCTCATTTGATAGTTAGTCACATCTTCGAACTCAATGCTCGAAGGAAGACAATTTTTCGCTTGAAAATGTTTCTACTTATGTCCTAAATACGGCGGCATAAAAATTGGATGATTTTAAACTCTTTACACCCCCTTCCTTTGAGTATAAATTTGAAGAAAACGTGACTTACTACCAAATGAATACAAAAAAGAGTATTTATGAGTATTTTTTCTATAAAATTGATTTGAGTCATGAGGACCGCGAAAATCAATAGCCCTGGACTACCGAGTGGAGTTGTTTGCAAGCGACTAAATAGACGTGCATTCAATAGCCAGCATCTTGGCGTGCCCCAGATATCTTGTGATGATGCTGCAAGATAACCAATATCATCCACCCACCTACGCCGTAACCAAAACCAAACTCCAGAATTTTGATTAATACTCCACGAGATCAGTCAGTGACAGTGTCTATGGGCTCAAGCGTAAACTGACCAAAAATGGTACTGCTGTCACTGTGCAGAGTTTAAGCACGCCTCACAGCGTCTTAGATAATGCTAGGTTCGTTGGTGTTGAGATAGCTCCTTTTGCAAATATTACTTTCATGTTACACTCAGGCAAAACCTTTTTCTAGAGGACAGTATCTACGACTGAGAGAGCGGGGGAGAGAGACCAAGAGCTCATGCTTGCTGAGTCCCTGTAGACTGTCTTCGGTAGGCGCCTTGGTGCTTGACCAAATGGTCTACCGTTGCCGCTGTTGCGCCCGTATCGACACATGTCAGAAATACTGCTCTTTGATGTATCCTGGCACACGAAGTGGGGACCGGGTCCTGCGGAAAACACGTACATGGGCCGTGTAACTTTGTCTGCCACTGCGTCCAATCCCATCGTTAGCGGTCTGACCGCCTTAGACGACTGACTGCTGTATCGGAAAGAAAGAAATGCCGACACTGGAAAACCAAGCCTCACGGCACGTACTCCTAGGTAAAATAAAACTTACGTGTCTGCATCCATTACGATGCGATATAACTCATGTCTCAAAGGCCTACGCACGAACGGGGTAGGTCAGTCCGTCTCAGGTAGGGGAGTCAGGTTGTAATGGGTCCTTTATAATGTGCTCCTTGTGGTACCCTCACTTGCGTCAGCTGCGA